TTCCGTGCCGGCGGGTTGGCCAGATCCACCTCTACAGGGCTCTCCCAGTCGCTGAGGTCGTCCTCTTGCTCCACGACACGCAGCAAGTGGTCCGGCATACTGTGGGGGCGGGTCTGACGGTAGGCGTGTCTCCCCAGGGCTCCTCCCCCTGCCCCGTCTCCACTACTCTCGAAGATGGTGGGGATGTCCGAACGGTGGGGGTGGATCTGTCCGGACTCCGAGGAGGAAGAGGAGGTGGAGAGTGTGGGCGAGAGAGGAACGTCTTGATGTTTAGCGGATGAGTTCATTGGAGGCGGTATTGACGTGCCTCGCTCTTTAAGGGTGAGGCGTTTGTGCCTCACTTTCCGCTGTTGTTGCTGGTGGGAGTTAACATCCTGGTGGTTGGTGTATCCTGGGTCATCCTCGTCCTCCAGCTCATCTCTTTTCCGCGGGGCTTCCAGGGAGCCGAACTCAGCCGGAGCAGAACACTGTCGCAGCGGGGACCCTGGCTGGTGTTGTTGTTGTTGTTGTGGCAGTGATGGTGGTGCAGGTTGTTGCTGTAGTTGAGACTGCGGCGTCGGTTGGGACTGGATGAGGGTTCGATCCTCACTAGGGATCGGCACAAAGTCAACACTGCTCATGACTAATGCAATGTTGTAGTATGCAGCATAAGAAAATAAAGTAAACGAGTATCCCTGTAGCTCAACGGGCAGTAATAAGAGAGCGTCCTGCCTAGAGATATCAGCCCATTGAACGTTTCTTTCAAGAACTTCCACTGTAATTCAGAACACTTCAAAGGGACATTTGAGACATAAGCTTCTCTCTGAGAAAAAATAAACAGGAGCGCTTTGATGAACTGATTAAGTTCTGCACACACATCAGCGACAATCAATTGTATGTAATCCTAGTAGCGATAACAATCGACATCAAAAGACCAACCTGGCATCCAAAGAATTCTGTCAGAGTGAAAAGGAACATTGGGTCGTTTCCGCTCTTTGAAAAAGAATGAGATGCCAGATAAAGACAAAGGCCGGTGTAACACTCCAAACTCCAAACTCCAAACAACTGGAGTGAAGAATAGTTCGGCGCACGAAATGGAACCAAATAAAAAGCGCTACTCGATCACTTGATGAAGGCGAACAGCACACAATCCACCTCGAACACTGAATTTTTTTTACTGTCTAGAGTCCTCACTTTTAAGTGGTTCCAGGCGCCAATCAATCACAACATCCCCGGCACAGCCTTCAGTAAATAGCATGGTAAATATTTGTGCCCTTTAATTGTCGGAGAAGCGTGGGGGTCTTTGTTTGTTCTCGCCGTTTGTGGCGGATGGAAAAAGTAAGTCTGGTTCTGTGATGATCGATAAATTACATTAGGTGACCTATAAATATGTGCACATGGAGGTGAAAGATAAACATCGCTATCATGGTACCTGCTGAGAATCCTATGATGCCATTTACTTTTCAGGAATGACGAAAGCGCAATATTTGTGGATTCCCTATAGCATGGCACTGAAAAGGCACCATCCGTCTAAAAACCGGGAAAGATTTGCCTTTTGTAAAAATGTCACAGTACCACAGCTGGAATATTTAATTCCTTCCAAAGACGCCCACTTAAACCCTGTAGCACCAGAACATAATCCCAAAACGCACAAGTGAAAATACGCAGTCTGGAACTAAAAACTGCTACTTAAAAAAATACGATCGTGATGAGATAAACCTGCAAAGGTTAGCAAAATTCTGCCGAAAACGAGCGCTTTATTACATACAACTGAACGAAATAAACTAGTTTCCTAGCAAAAGACACTGAACATGAAAATCATTATAAGACTAATCCGAAACAGGCGTAGAAAAACCGAACACAGTTTAAACACTTGAAAGGCACAGAGCAACACCGCAATGGGTATTAGCTTATATTGACAACGCCACTAATGGGGTGAAGAGGGGGAAGGGTGGGGGAGGGAAGGAGGGATGGGGTGTGGGGGCGGGGTAGGATGTTGACAAAGGAGGTCAGCGGAGTAGGGTAAGTCACAAATCAGATAATAATGCTAGCTGCCCAGAAATACTGAATGGACAAACACTCCACTCAACAGGGAACAAATCTATGGCCGGCTAGTAAATGTCAGAGCGTCAATGAGACCATACACTGGCAAGACCAATTCCCTTATCATCCTCATGGTCATCATCATAACGAGACAGATCTGAAACAGACATCGACGATCATGGTTCGATCTCCATTCATTTCTCTTCTGGGAAGATCTAAAAAGAACACCCCAACCTAAAGCATTTTAGTCTTTTCCCCGTCACCTATCTGTTCATATTTCCCCCAAAAGTTACACTGGGTCTACCCCTGACTCGCTTGCTTTCTATTTTATTCCAGTGAGAGCAAAATAGTCCAAGCCTGCATGTCCGTTATACGTACGAGAGACTCAATCGAAGAAATGACGGAAACCTTCAACAGAATGACAAGGGAAAACACATCTTCTGTAGCTGGAGGAAATTGAATCCGAGTCCTCTCTAACCAAAGTCACACGTATTTCTGATCAGAAACCAGCACCAACGCAACTGTATGGATCGTGAGCGTCATGTCTCTACCTCATAATTACAAATCTGCTCAAAATGTTGAGAACTTTGACGTCAAAATTTCCGAGTTCCACAATATGTCAAACTTTAAAAAAATGCAAATCTGATTATGTTGATAAGGACTCCAAATATTCTTACGATTTTGATAGAGCAGATAGAGAATTTGATTTCTGGCCTCAAAACGGCGAACACAAATGTCAGATAGAACTTTGTAATTCTAAGATAGCGATTTCTCTAATTTGCCAACCACAAACTGTTTGCCTGCAAGCACTGACTCTCATACAGTAAACTTTTCAAAAAACCACAGAGCCCCCGGGAAACAACACACAATTATTAACTACATGAAGATAGAATCAACGGAAAAGTAACGAGAACAGCGTGGGCAGAAGGCGGGGTGTTGTGTCATCCTTGGCAGAACGAAAGAGCTCGTCGTATCTCATCATCCCATCGATCATATGAGATGGTTGAGAAATTGAAGGCCACCGTCGCAGCTCCAGTTGGAGGGAATGCCTTGTGGTGAGTGTGGTGCTCAGATATCAGATGTCGCGGTTCTTCTATTATCTCTAGGCATGGTCATACTGTTATTCTGACATTTTGATAGAGAATGGAACGAGAGAAAAAGTACAAGGAGGGGTGGTGCAGATTTAAAGTAAGTGGGGGGAGAGAGAGAGAGAGAGAGAGAGAGAGAGAGAGAGAGAGAGAGAGAGACAGAGAGACAGAGAGAGAATCGGGTGTGGGAAGGGTGAAGAAATAGCAGAAAACAGAGCAGAGAAGCTAATTAAGAGTACAATAACACTGATCTAGCACACACACAAACATACACACACACATACACACACATATATACACACACACACACCTTCCTACCTACCTACATACGTACCCACGTACCTACCTACCCACCTTCCTATCAACCTACTACCTACATACGGACATATAAAGGGAAAAAACGCAGACGTAACATGGACGTTGCCATCAGTTAAAAAAAAAAGAAAAAAAACGTTGTTAATTAAAATACCACTCCCTAGTTCAGAAAAAGCTCTTGTGCTTGGTCAGAATATAAAAAAAAGAAAGAGAAAGCCAATAAAACCAAAAACCCAACAAAAACTAAAACCCAAAACAATCCCCCCCCCAACAAAAAACACAACAAAAAACAACAAACAACAACAACAACAAATGAGACAAATAATGTTTCAGTTGTTGATGTATCCCATGGACTTAACGAAAATAACAGTTATTCATTTTCTAAAAACCAATCAAGGCAGGCAAATGACAAAGGAGGCCATGTAATATATTATGACAGATTATATCTTTTTTTTTTAAATCCCACAGACAGCGAAGTCATATCTGTTCTTAACTTCCACCACTCCGCGCTGGCAAATATTCCCCTTGAGAGTAATTAAGTGTCATATTGCGCTGTTCATTTTCCCGCTGGCTGAAAATAATTAAGTAGACAGTGGTATTACCCATCTGAAAAACATATCTCGGGGCGGTACCGGGCTCTTTGCGTCAAATCGTCCCCGTAAAGGTCATGAATATTCATCAAGGATGGCCTACTACAAGATGAACTCCATGAACAAACAAACCGCATACCTGGGCAGCTCACTGGAGGCAAGTGTAATCGACCCGTTGGCCTTAACGGTCGGAACCAAACACTAATTATACGAGGAGGATTTTTATCATCATCATCATCATCATCATCATCATCATCATCATCATCATCATCATCATCATCATCAACAACAACATTATTATTATTAGTTTCTTTCATTTCATTATATTTTATTTTATTCATCTATTATATTTCTTGAGGGGAGTAAGCACAAAAGGGTTGGAGTACAGGAGAAGCCATATTAATATTTTACTTATATATATATATATATATATATATATATATATATATATATATATATATATATATATATATATATATATATATATATATATATATATATATAAATGATTATACTTATAATTCAGCAGTATGCCATGCATAATATGCATTGTGGTATATTATTATCTATACCACCCTTCTCTCTCTCTCTCTCTCTCTCTCTCTCTCTCTCTCTCGTTCTCTCTCTCTCTTTCTTTCTCTCTCTCTTTCTTTCTTTCTCTCATATATATATATATACATACACACACACACACACACATATATATATATACACACACACACACACACACACACACACACACACATATGTGTGTGTGTGTGTGTGCATTGTGTAAATTATCCATACCACCCTTTTCTCTCTCTCTCTCTCTCTCTCTCTCTCTCTCTCTCTCTCCCTCTCTCTCTCTTTCTCTCTCTCTCTCTCTCTACATATATATGTGAGCGTGCATTTTGTAAATTATCCATACCACCTTTTTTCCCCATTCCCTTGAATCAACATACCATGCGTATGCATGCTGGTACATTATCTATTTTATCGTTTTCTCTCTTTCCTTGAACCAGTATACCATGAAATGTATGTTGGCATATTATCGATATTCTATATTATCTTTATACCCTCCCCCCCCCCCTCTCCTTGAATTAATATACTATGCATTTGAATCAGTTTACCAAATGTATACATGTTGGTATATCGTCTAACTTACCCTCCCCTTCTCCAACACCTCCTTGGAACAGAATACCATGAAATGCATATAGGTATATATTATCTACGAATATACCAGTCTTTTCCGTCTCCACTTTCACCCTGTATATTATACAATGACATGTCTGTGTATTATCTACCTTGTCCCCATCAGGACCGGACAAGCAGAACACCCCACAAGAGGAGATCAAACAACCCCGCCCACACCGTGTAAACCAAAAGACTGCGGTACTACGACATGTAGATCAGAGCTCTTGGGACAGTGGGCCAGTTCGGCAACTTCTGTACCCCCCCCCCCTCCCCTCGCCCAACTCCCGATGTGGAACTTGAGCATCGGAAGAAGAGTTTCACTGGAAGTGACGTTAGTGACTGTGACTCCACCCGCCTCCCTTTACACACACACACACACACACACACACACACACACACACACACACACACACCTACTTTTTTCTGAGGTTTGCGGTATGTATGGTACGACACGGATATACTACCTAGATAAAAACGGAATACATTTTTTTAAACAAGCAAAATAACGGATAAATAAACACTGTACCGTAAGGTCATTGAAGAGACAGAACCTATTTTTTAATGAAACAAAAGCCATATGAGTTGAGCTTTGAAAACTCTTCTAAAAATCCGAGTTAAAAATACTTACTGCCCGCTCGGGGTTCAAACTATGGTCATCCCCCACTGTAGTCTGAGGTATTCCAATTGAGCTATCCAAGCCCCGTTATCATCTACCATTTTCTATCCCCAATTTTTAAAAAATCCAATCTCTCGTCTTCTTACCAACCAATCAACCTATCTTTTTATTCCCCAACCAAGGAACCAGCCAACTTGCCAACCAACCAGACTGCAAGCAGCCAGCCAACCAAACAACTAACCTACTATCTTTCTATCTACCTACAACTTAACTAAGTTACCTTCGTCCATGTCAAATATACCTGTCTATTTGTTTGGGGGGAAATATGTATGGTCAGTTATGTGCGTACGTGTTTGTGTGTAAGGATGTGTTCACGTGCGTGTGTACGTGTTTCTTTGTAAGGATATGTTCAGCTATGTGTGTACGTGTTTCTATGTAAGGATGTGTCCAGGTATTAGTTTTAGTAGAGGTTTTACGGCACTCGCAACTGCATAAGGTCATATGAGCGCCAGAAGATTAGAGGTGTTACAAGAGAGTAACAAACATAAAAAAGAAG